CGTGGGGACACTGGTGCCACAGAGCAGGGATTTCTGCTCCAGAATGGCCATTTGGTGCTGCCTTAGTCACTGCTAAGGAGATTATGGAGAGGAAAGTCCTTCGGTGCTTCAGCAAAACGCAGGGAACACCCTCTGATGTCAGCCCGGCTGTGCTGTGAATAATGACTCCTCTCCTAATTGCTGCTGCTTGGGGTTTCAGAGGGGTTTAATTAAACCCAGGCAAAAGCAACTCCTGCCTGGAAGCCTCTGGAGGTCCTCAAGGTGTTCAGAGGTTGTGGTAAAATCCATGAGAAATGGCTGGCATGGAAGTCATGAGCCACTGGACCTGTGCTTTAATAACTCAGCTGTAGGGCAGTGAATACCACGTGGTTTTAAGATGTATTTATTTGCTAAACACATCTCCCAAACAGCAGGTTTGGGCCCTCTTCACGTGCACTAAAGGTGTGGTTTTCCCTGAGAATGGCAACGGGGATTTAGCCTGTGCTTTGGATGTTATTCCATACATATTTGTAAAGGAAAAATCTTTAACGGATCAGTGACACGCATTTGTTACTGGTTTTAGGAGCAGGGGGTATTCACCCTAAAAGTGAAAATATGGAGAATAGATGTGGTTTTACCTTATTCAGGGAAAAAAATTTGTTATTGAACATATTTTTTATTTTCCTGCAAATAGAGAATAAAATTAATTGGGATTTATCCCTGAGGAGAACCTGCTGCCTTTTAGGCATGGAAAATCGCAGAATCTTTTAGGTTGGAGATCATGGGGTCCAACCATTCCCAGCACTCATCCATGTCCCCAGGTGCCACATCCATGCCCAGAGAGACATTCCTGACATGCCCAGTGTCCCCAAACCACACAGTGGCTGCAAGAGAGCAACCAGAGCTTTTGTAACTGTTTTTTTAAATTTATTTTTGTATCCTGAAATCAGCAGAACCCCCTGGGTTTGAAGTGGGGAGCAGAGGCTGCAGTTGGAGGGCTGATTTTGGGGGATGTGCTGGGAGCTCACGCTGTGCTGACTCACCTCCCCCTGCTCTGTTCCAGACAAGCAGAACGATGTGGAGATTCCTTCTCCCACCCAGAAGGACAGGGAGAAGAAGAAAAAACAGCAGCTCATGACACAGATCAGTGGGGTGAAGAAACTGATGCACAGCTCGAGCTTGAACAACACCAGCATCTCACGGTTTGGGGTGAAGACAGAAAAGGAAGATCACCTGGCCAAGGTAGGAGAGATTCCTGCTCTTCTGGGAGAATCTGGAAGCTGGGAATGGATTTTTCCCCCCTTGGAATTAGTATCCCTGAAGTGATGTGCCCATTAGAAATGCTGTAATTAGCCTTTAAGAGTATATTTTACATTTAAAAATACATGAAAATAGCCCTAAAATAAAAGAAAAAGGGTGATGAAGGCTGAGGAGAGCAATTATGGGACACAAAACCAGCCCTAAAATAAAAGAAAAAAGATGATGAAGGCCAAGGAGAGCAATTATGGGGCACAAAACCAGCTTCACAGTGTTCATGAAGCTCACACATTCAGCACTTACATAATTACAATAACCATTACATTTGCATATTTGTGAACTTTTGGGGCAAATGCAGAGTTGCCTGGAAAAACCATTCCAACCATAACTTTTTGGTGCTCTCCAAAGGAGCTGGAAGACCTGAATAAGTGGGGCCTCAACATCTTCAACGTGGCCAGGTATTCCCACAACCGGCCTCTGACCTGCATCATGTACGCCATATTCCAGGTGTGTATTCCTGCAGTGCAGCCTCCCTGCTGCTCCCAGCAGAATTCCCATGCCCAAATCCCCTCTGCCCCCCTGCCTGGTGCTGCCTAGGCCGACCCTCAGCTTGGTGTTTGTGCTCTGCCCCCTCAGGAGCGGGATCTGCTGAAAACCTTCAAGATCTCGTCGGACACGTTCGTGACGTACATGATGACCCTGGAGGACCACTACCACTCAGATGTGGCCTACCACAACAGCCTGCACGCTGCTGATGTGGCCCAGTCCACCCACGTGCTGCTCTCCACCCCTGCCCTGGATGTGAGTGCCCTGCTTGCCTTGGTTTTCAGCGTGGGGTGGGCACCGCTGGCTCTGCCGGGCGCTCCCTTCGGTAGGAAACCTCAGCACGTGGGATCTGTGTTTCACCCTCACCTTTCTGCCCTGCCTTGTCCCAGAAAACCAATGGAAACAGCACAATTTGCTGCCCTCAATCAGCCTGCCCACTGCCCCTCTGACAGGCTCCTGTTGCTCCATCCTAGGCCGTCTTTACGGATCTGGAAATCCTCGCTGCCATTTTCGCAGCTGCAATCCATGACGTGGATCACCCCGGGGTCTCCAATCAATTCCTGATTAACACAAGTGAGTTTTGTTCTGAATCCCTCAGAATTTCACCCCAAAAGCAATGGGAATGCTTTTTACCTGCCACCAATGACAACTTGCAGGCTGTGCTGCCCTCTCAAAATACAGTGCAGCAGAGGAGTGAGACATTTTGGGCTCAAGCAGGAATTAAAATGCAATCCCTGACAAAGGGAACCATTGTAGCACAATTTGTAAAGTCAATATTTACTACTTGCTAACACATAATAACTCTGCAAAAGTGCAAACTTTACCATTAAGATAAGAGAAATAATCCTATTGCTATTGACAACCAGAAAGCCAAATATTGGCCTTCGTGTTGTGTTCTGCCACAGGCTCAGCACAGATCTGGGTTCCAAAATATAGGGATTGTTGTGTTCTGGGAAGGATTTTTTACAGGATTCTGTTGCCAGTGACTTGTAACTGAGTCAACTAAGCATTATTTTGTCACTGAGACTGAGCAAAGGCTGGGGTTGTCGCTCATGGAGCTAAAAAGAATCCCAGAACGCTAAAATCATCCAGTATTCCATGGGCAGGGACACTTCCCCAGGACCAGACTGCTCCAAACCCCATCCAGCCTGGCCCTGAACCCTTCCAGGGATGGGAAAAGAAACTTTCCCCCACTAAAACCTTTCAGTGCCCAGAACAAGGCTCCTCTTGGCTGTTGGAAACCTCAGATTTCCCAGCCTGGAGTCCCACATTTGGTGTTCCTTGCCCAGATTCCGAGCTGGCCCTGATGTACAATGACGAATCCGTGCTGGAGAACCACCACCTGGCCGTGGGCTTCAAGCTGCTCCAGGAGGAGCACTGTGACATCTTCCAGAACCTGACCAAGAAGCAGCGCCAGACCCTCAGGAAGATGGTGATTGACATGGTATGGCCACTCCCTCCTCCTCTTCTGAACCAAAAATGGTCATTTTTTATGCCTTCCCCTCCTGAAATCCTGTTTTTTTTCCCCCTTTCTGGAAAGGTGTTGGCCACTGATATGTCCAAGCACATGAGTCTGTTGGCTGATCTGAAGACTATGGTGGAAACTAAGAAGGTGACCAGTTCAGGAGTTCTCCTTCTGGACAACTACACGGACAGAATACAGGTGAGGCAGCCAAATTCCCTGGATTTGGGGTGTTTTGGCCAGGATGAAGAAGCCACACTCCTGTTTTTGCTGTGGCTTTGAAATTAATCATACAGAGAAGCTGAATTCTCAGCAGTCATTTCCTTCTGCACTAAAAAGAAGCACAAGGCGGTCCCAAACTTTTAGCTGTTATTTTTTAGGTGTTAACCCGAAATTAGGGGTTTTTTAACACCTGGAACTGCAAACATGGCACATTCTGAGGTCAGTTTTTGAGAACTCCTAAATTTCCTTGCTGCCTTCTCCCATTTGTTTCTCCTGTTAGAAGAATTTAATTTGGAACTTCACATCTAAAGCAGCTCAGAGTGAGCTGGAATTCCTGCTGGACAGTGTGTTCCCTCAGTAATTGGATCCTGGGTTTGCAGAAGTGCCCAGAAGTGCTGGAGCAGGGCTGTGCAGTGAGCAGGACCTGACACATCCTGCTCTGCTCTCTGCTGCGATGACCAACTCCTTAAGAGCAGGCTCCTGGGAAAACCCTGTAAATTTTTTATATCACACACTCTGGTGCTGCATAAATCCTTGTGGCCACTTAGTCAGGCCCGTTCTGTGCCTGTGTGGAAGGGATATTACTCATTGCACAAAGTGGGAGCATTACACCTCTTTCCCTGAGAGCATTTTGAATGTTGGGAAGCAGCTGGATCCCCAAACAAACCCATGTGAAGTCACTGACACTTCCACAACTGCTCCAGGTGTGAGGCTTGGGCTGTGTGAGCACTTTGGGGCTGGGGCAGCTGAGCTCAGCCATGGAGATGGAATCACAGAATTCCTGACTGGTTTGGGTTGGGAGCGACTTTAAATTCATTCCATCCCTCCCAACGCCTCTCACTGTCCCAGGCTGCTCCAAACCCCTCCAGCCTGGCTTTGGACATTCCAGGGATCCAGGGGCAGCTGCAGCTGCTCTGGGAATTCTGTTCCAGCCCCTCCCCACTCTCCCAGCCAGGAATTCCTTCCCAATATCCCACTAAATTTACCTTCTTTCAGCTCACAGCCACTCCCTGTGTCCTGTCCCTCCATCCTTGTCCCCAGCCCCTCTCCAGGCCCTGCCAGGGGCTCTGAGCTCTCCCTGGATCCTTCTCCTCTCCAGGGGAGCCCCCCCAGCTCTCCCAGCCTGGCTCCAGAGGGGCTCCAGCCCTGCAGCAGCTCCGGGGGTCCCTCTGGGCTCTCTCCAGCAGCTCCATCTCTTTAACGTGCTACCACGCAACATTTTGGATGTTTTTATGGTCTGTTTCATAACCAGAGAATCTTCTGGTGCAATGTTCTGCAGATCCATCTCCAAGGCCTGCTCTTTTTGCAGCTGATTTCATGAGCTCCCTGATGGATGTAATTGCAGGTTCTCCGGAATATGGTGCACTGTGCAGACCTGAGCAATCCCACCAAGTCTCTGGAGCTGTACCGGCAGTGGACGGACAGGATCATGGAGGAGTTCTTCCAGCAGGGGGACAAGGAGAGGGAGAGAGGCATGGAAATCAGCCCCATGTGTGACAAACACACGGCCTCCGTGGAAAAATCCCAGGTAATTGGCCCTGAGCTGCAGCTCTCCCTGCATTTCAAAGCAGGGCCAGAACTCAGCTGAGGAGGCAGCGGCTCAGAGCGTGGCTGCTGATCCACCCTGACATCCAGCTGTGCCCGGGGCTCTCACAGCCTGGGCAGGCCCTTCCAGCTCCTCTCCATCCCCCTGGCACCTCCTCGTGCCCTGCTCGTGTCCCACTTTCCAGAGGGACTTGGATCCTTTTGTTCCCCGGGCTGGAAAGGGCAGTTCTGCCCTGCCCACCCGTCCCAGCCTGTCCTGCCCTCGCTCTTCCTCACCCCACCAGGGTTGTACCACTGATCTGCAGCACTGGGAGCTTCTCCCAGAGCTTCTCCCACCCAGATCCCCCTGCAAATCCCTGGCTGTCACTCCTTATCCAGGACAATCCTGTGGTGCACATGTCCAGTTGAATCAGAGGCTTTTGGAGCTGCCCTGTGCAGGGTGAATCCCAGAAATACTCATTTATGTCCCTGCAAAACCTAAAAGGAGCTGCATTTACCTCTTTTTTTTTTTTTTTTTGGGGGATGAACTGGCTCATCCCTAGTTCTGATTCATACAATGGTTTCAAGGTCAGATTTTGTTCTGACCTGCGTAGCACAGGCCATAAAATTTCGCCTGGATAATCTGGAATGAAACCAGGAATTTATGTTTGTCCAAACAGATTCCAGCCTTTATATAATGCTGTCTTGGTTGTTGTTTTTGAATGACTCCAGCAAGTCATCACTGAGGTTTTTCAGCTTGAATAAGTAACAAAATTGATGATAATTATTTCCAAATGTCCTCTCGGGCTCGGCCAAGTGCTTTCAAAATTATTCACTCAACCGCGTGGTGATTTCGTTGGAAAAATCTGTCGGATTTCTTAACCTAACAAGAAATGAATCCTTCAGCCAGCCTTGCCCATGTGCTCCACATGTGAGCTCCAATTCATTCTTTGCTTCACATCTGCACTTCCCAGAGGCTTCAAAATGCCATTTTTGCCGTGCAGAAAAGACAAGAATTGTACAAAATGTCCATTTTAGAATGGCAAAGGAGAGAGGGAGGTGGCGTGTCCATGCTGGGGGTTTCCAAATGCCATTTTTGCTGTGCAGAAAAGACAGGAATTGCACAAAATGTCCATGGTGGAATGGCAAAGGAGAGAGGGAAGCGGTGTGTCCGTGCTGGAGGTTTCCAAATGCCATTTTTGCTGTGCAGAAAAGACAGGAATTGTACAAAATGTCCATCTTGGAATGGCAAAGGAGAAGGGGAAGCGGTGTGTCTGTGCCGGAGGGAAACAAGGAGTGGATTAGAAAATAATATGCAAATATTTCAAAACTTGAGATGCCCTCTCAATATTTTAGGATAAGCACTGAGCCTTGCAGCCAATTATTCCATGATTTGGGATGATTTTAAAGGAGCAGTGACCCGAAACAATGATTTTAAAGAAACGAGTGCTGATTCTCACCCATCGGCACCGTGGAGCCATGGAACATTTCGGGTTCCAACCACCCCAAAGTCTCTTTTTCCCAGTGCAGCAGGAACTTTTCACCACCTTTCCCTGGCGCCCGTTCCAACTGGATGCTGACGGTGCTATTGACATCCTGTTGTGTCTGAGGGAGCCGGCAGCGATTCCAAAGCAAACATCTGCGCCCGGCTCCTGGGAGCGCCTTTTCCCCGCTCCACACAAAGCCGTGGGGCAGACGGAAGGATTGTGATGCCCTTTATGGCCGTTCCGCCGGCTCCATCCCGGCCCTGGTTCCTCCCTGAGTCAGAGCAGCGCGGCAGGGCTGAGCTCAGCGGAAGGGCCGAGCATCCCTCACTCTTTCCAGCCTGGAACGTCGCCCCGTGGGGCCAGGCAGCATTCCCGGGCTGAGCTGCCAGAGCTCCGAGTGCTGGAAAAGTCTCTCCTCCAACCCAACTTCCAAAGAAAGGCTCAGCAGTCTCTTGTTTGGTCTCAAGGCAGTTTATTGCAAGTTATCTAAAAGATTTTCTTCTTGGGCTGCTGTGGTTTGCTCACAGCTCAGGCAGAGGCACACACACACCCTGACATCCTCTCTGACTCCTAATTTATTCTTCTCTCCCCCACCCAGGGCTGCTGCTGTCTTTTATATGGTACATTACGTGTTACATGGGTACAGTTTTGCCCCAATGCCTATTACTTATATTAAATGGTGCTTTTCTATCTTTTATATGGTACATTACGTGTTACATGGGTACAGTTTTTCCCCAATGCCTATTACCTATATTAAATGGTACCTTTCTACTCTAAACCAACCTGGGAGTGCCAACATCACCAAGAACATGGAGGGAAGGAAGGAGAAAGAGGGAGGACAGGACAGGCCCAAATCCCTCCATCTTAAACCTCTGACCCCCATGTACAAAACCAAAACCCCCCTGTACAGCACTCAAAAATTCTTCCCTCTACTTTGTGACTACTTCTACTCTAATATCTAAACTTTTGTGACTTCTTGTTCTTCCTGCAAGGTTGGTAAATTATTCCATGGCTCAAACCCAAAATCACAGCTGTTTCCAGCTGCCTGCCAGGGTCTCAAATGCTTCTGACCTGGGCCTGGAACATCCAAAAATGTCTGAGGGACATTTTGAGTTCCAACAACGAGCGGCCAGCCCCGCTGGCTGGGACACTGCCAGGGATCCAGGGGCAGCCACAGCTGCTCTGGGAATTCCAGCCCAAGGAACAATTCCCAATGTCCCATCCATCCCTGCCCTCTGTCAGTGAAGCCATTCCCTGTGTCCTGTCCCTCCATCCTTGTCCCCAGCCCCTCTCCAGGCCCTGCCAGGGGCTCTGAGCTCTCCCTGGATCCTTCTCCTCTCCAGGGGAGCCCCCCCAGCTCTCCCAGCCTGGCTCCAGAGGGGCTCCAGCCCTGCAGCAGCTCCGGGGGTTCCTCTGGGCTCCACATGTTCCTGATGTTGGCCCTGCAGGTGGGGCCTCACCTGGGCAGGGCAGAGGAGCAGGATCTCTCCTTTCCTGCTGCCCACACTGGGGGCTCAGCCCAGGGCTCTGTCCCCTGAATTTCCTTCTGGCTCCTGCTTTTAGTGACACTTCAGCCAAGGTTTGATTTCGGACAGGACATCAGCCCAACCCAGCGCCGTGGGTGGGCGCAGCTCTGGGTATCACACAATGGTGTCTGCATCAGGCTCTGCTGGTTTGGAGATTTGCTCTGGTATTTTGCTTGTAAAACAAATATAATATGAACTTTTCAGACGTGCACCTTGTGCAGGTTATTCCCTTGCCCTAAGTGTGCGTGTCCCTTTGTTTTCCAGGTGGGATTCATCGACTACATCGTCCATCCGCTCTGGGAGACGTGGGCGGACCTGGTGCAGCCCGACGCCCAGGACATCCTGGACACTCTGGAGGACAACAGGAACTGGTACCAGAGCATGATACCTCAGAGCCCATCCCCTCCCCTGGAGGAGCGGGGCCAGGACTGCCAGGGCCTGATGGAGAAGTTCCAGTTTGAACTGACGCTGGAGGAGGAGGACTCGGACGGGCCCGAGAAGGACGGCGAGAGCCTCGGCTACTTCAGCAATACAGAGACGCTCTGCGTGGCCCAGCCCGGGGAGGAGGAGCCCCAGAGGGAGGCCACCATCGAGATTGTGACAGAAGACACGTCTCCTGTGGACACATAATGGCCTGGCCCCGCGGGAGTGGCTTTTAACACTTGCGGAGCTTGCGAGCGGCCTCCGACAGCCTCTGCAGCCGGGGCTGAGCCTCTCCACGGGGCTGGCAGATCCTCCAGCTGCTTGAGATTGGAGTCAGGGTTACAGATGGGGTAGGGAATGTTGCTCAGGAAATGCACGGGTGATTTGCCTTGTGGTTTGAGCCTCGTCAGCCGAGAGCACCGCGTTGTCCTGGAGCTGGCTTGGGTCGGGCCAAGGCGGCGCTGACACACAACTGAGAGATTTTATACTGTTAGTTTTGGAGTTTATACCAGTTAGACTGATAGAAACTACTGATCAATAACTCATATCCAACCTGTCCACCTGTCTGCAGACCTGTGTGCCTTCTTTGTAAACACTTTCATGTCTTTTCAAGAGTCTCTTAATTCAACACGCGGAGCTTGGTAGTTCAAAAGCGACACAAGGTGTTTGGAATTGACGGCTACTTTTTGGATTCTTCCTGTTACCAGAAGCAGTCTTCCTTTTTTTTCGTGGGCAATACCTGTCACTTTATCGCAGTTAATCACTTTGACAGACTAAACAGAAGGGGAAACCCTCTGCTTTGCATTACTGCACCTTCAGTGTGTTCTTAATCCCCCCGGTGCCATCGTGCACCGTTCCCTCGCTGGGAACAGCGGGAATTCTTTTCCTCCCCGGGGTTTGGGTTTGTGGTGAGCAGGACAGAGGGCAGGTTTTTTATCCCTGGCACAGCTCAGTCCATCCCTGAGTAAGCGTGGCAAGGCGGTGTGTGACACGCCTTCCCCCTCGGCAGCTCCCTGGAATTTGCACGCTCGGATATTTGTGTTCCTCTGGCCTCTCGTCCACCTTCCCTAGGTTTAGGTCCACCATCCTCCTCCTCCTGCACTGCCTCGAGCTCTACCACCTCCATTACTGTTTATAACAGTGTATTTATTACCTACTGTACATACTGTAATGTTTTGTAAGTTATTAATTTATATGAATTAGCATCGCCTGTCGGCGGCGATGTTAATGGGGTAGAAAACTCAGAATAAGAGTTGCCTTTTTTTCTTGTAGCCTTTTGTATTGCATAAAGTCCAAGAACCTGAACATAGCTGAGGAGACAGACACAACCCAGGAAGGGCATTCGGGTGGCAGCCGCCCGTGGGGAGGGGACACCGCATCCCAGGGCAGCGAATTTGGGAATTTGCCAGGAACGCGGGGACAGGGAACCGAACAAAGGGCTCCCCATGCCCGGGCCGGCTGTTCAATGTCACAATGTTCCAACTTCTGAACAACCCAATGTGAATCTCTATGACAAAAACAAAAAAAATGTGAACTGATGTAATAATTGTGCTGTGAAACTTCCTCTGACAAAGCTTGTCCGGCATCGTGAGCGGTGTCAATCTCAGTTTGTAAAATATGTTTCAAGCTTTTTGGTCCAACTCGTGACTAATTAGTTCATGACAATAGCACAGTTGTGCATGATCAATGGGTTTGTTTGTCTGTTGAACACTGCATTGTTCCAGGTGGTTATTTTATTGTTCCCCAAAGTTTCACACTATGTATGTTATAGTATTCTATATTGTGTTCAGACGCATTCTTAAGAGATTTTTATATGAAGTGAATAAATGAAAGCATGACCCAGCCTGCGGCTCTTCAGGGGGCTTTTGTCTACAAGACAGCGTGGGCCGTGTCACCACTGCTCAGGGGACAGAAAATGGGACCCTCCAAACCCAGAATTCCCCTATGGCTCCGTCCCAGAACCCTGCTAGGGCCAAAACCCAGAACCCTGATGTGGCCAATACACAAACCCCTCTGATGGCTGAAATCCAGAACCTTCCTTTGGCCAAAATCCAAAACCTCCCACACCCAAAGACCTCCCACAGCTGAGAACACTCCTGGAGCCAAACCCCAAACCCTCCAATGGCTGAAACCCAAAACCTCCTCTGTCCTAAACCCAAAACCTCCCATGTCCTAAACCCAGAACCTCCCATGGCTCAATCCCAGAACCCTCCTATGGCCTAAACTCAGAACCCTTCTGTGGCCAAAATGCAAAATCCTCCCGTGGCTGAAACCCAGAACCTCCTACGTCCTAAACCCAGAACCTCCAACGTCCTAAACCCAGAACCTTCATGTCTGAAACCCAGAACCTCCAATGTCCTAAACCCAGAACCTCCGACGTCCTAAGCCCAGAACCTCCAACATCCCAAACCCAGAACCTCCAAAATCCTAAACCCAGAACCTCCAACATCCTAAATTCAGAACCTCCAACGTCCTAAGCCCAGAATCTTCAATGTCTGAAACCCAGAACCTCCAACATCCTAAACCCAGATCCTCCAATGTCCTAAACCCAAAACCTCCAATGTCCTAAACCCAGAACCTCCAGCGTCCTAAACCCAGAACCTGCAATGTCTGAAACCCAAAACCTCCAACGTCCTAAACCCAGAACCTCCAATGTCTGAAACCCAAAACCTCCAATGTCCTAAACCCAGAACCTCCAACGTCCTAAACCCAGAACCTCCAATGTCTGAAACCCAGAACCTCCAACATCCTCAACCCAAAACCTCCCATTTCCTAAACCCAGAACCTCCCATGTCCTAAGCCCAGAACCTCCAACGTCCTAAACCCAGAACCTCCAACGTCCTAAACCCAGAACCTCCAATGTCCTAAACCCAAAACCTCCAACGTCCTAAACCCAAAACCCCCAATGTCCCAAACCCAGAACCTCCAACGTCCTAAGCCCAGAATTCCCATGGCCATCCCCAGAATTCCCATGGCCATCCCCAGAATTC